TTGTTACAATAATGTGAAATTTCTCTTTCTGAGGAAGGTACCCCTATCTTATGTCACTTACTTGAGAACAACAGTTGTTTATGTTTTCACCTTTTTTATAAGGAGTGAGCAGTAATTAAATCTACATTGAGTATTGGGAGCTAGACAACTCACAGAAGTCATGATTGAGGATAATCTAAGCTAATATAAATTCTGTTGACACCTATTGATTGTCTTTCATTCAGTTTGAGATCTTGGTTTTTGATACGGTGAGTGATTCTGGTTGCAACCTGGACATTTTTGCATGATCTTCCGTAACTCTGGATCTCATTTTAACATTCTGTTTCGGCTGGCTTTCTCTGACACTACTCAGTCTGGAGAAAGTGGGGATGCAGGGGACTCTACCTCGTTTCCGCCCTGTGAAGGTCAAAGAGCGGATTCCCCATTTGGCCTTCATTGGACACAGCGTGGGAGAGGTGCTCCTCATTACTGCTGAATTGATGGGAGTTCCAGCTCCCCATGTGGTCTCCACTGACTCTTTGGAAGGGGGCACATTGCTAGCTGGTGGGGATGAAAGTCCTGGCTCCTTACTTGGCCTTCTCTGACACACAACCCTGGCATTGGGGGCCTCATTGCAGCCTCATGAGAGTTTTTACTCCAGGTCTAGGCTTCCTGCCAGACCTTTGCTGGCAGGAGTGGGGGTGGCCACAGTTTTTTTGTGGTATTTGTCAGGAATACAGTGCTCAGTGTCTAAGAGTCTTCTGTCTTCCATGTTCTTAGGCTGTTTTTTTCATGGTCCTTTTCCTAGCGGAAACAGGCTTTCATTGGGACTTTATTTGTCTACATCTTTGGCATTTCCTGGTTTTCTGCTCCAAGTCCAGATACATGAGGCAAAATGAAAATCCAGGAAAGATAAAAGTCACCGCTGTGTCATCCTTGGGTCTCCTTTTTTCCCTCGACCTTTCATAATCTTCTTGTGTTTGCTTCAGGTATTTTAGTTGTACTTAGCAGGAGGAATGGGGAAAAGTACATCTAGTCCATGTTATTGAAAGCGGGAGTCCATCCATTGACTTATAAATTCTAATATTATGCCTTTTTGTTTTTATTTGCTTTTTTCTCCCCTAATCTGCCTACTTGTTTTTTAATAGTTCTTATATTTTTGGTCCTATTTTCAAACCTCTATTTTATCTCTTTAAACATATTAACTCTCAGTTTCTGAAAACAACAACAACAACAACAGTGGTAATCACCATTAACCATTGAAGCCAGTGGACCATTTTTAGTTTTTTGTAATTTTAAGATTTTTTATGAATAATTTTCAGAAGTTCAAATAAGAGCATGAGAGACAACTTCATTAGAATTTTGATCAGAATTTCAATATAGCCAACTCAAAATTTTAGTCCATATTTTCCTGGTTTTTAAATGGGCAACATTCTTTGAACAATGTACCTAACTGAACATCATCAGCTATGCATGACCCTGGAACGTAAACCATCGTATAAGTACTGATTCCAAATTTTAAATACATCTCTAATAGGGTCTAACTTATCATTACTTGTGTGTGGTTCTTTTTCTTGGACATGCATTGTTAAAATCCAATACTTTGGAAGACCTGATGATTAATAGTTTTGTTGAAGAGACAGTGGCTAATATCTTTGCTGCATAATTGCAAAATATTTTCATTTTTAGAGTTACAAAAACCAACTAGAATGACTAAGTGAATATTTTAATTTCTACATTATCTGTTTCCTTCCACTCACCTTTGCATTTACTTTTGTTAAGTAAAATAAAGCATTTGTCAAATAATTCTTGGTGCACAAACATTATAAAAAGTGAAAGAGTACTGTTTTATGTTTTTTTAGCAAAATGAAATGGTCCATGTGCTTGATGCAAAATGTATGGAAAGTTCTTGCTGTTGAATGAGCAGTTCCAAGAGCATACCATGTTTCTTTTCTCATTTTCCTCATTGATTCCTGAGTTTGAGAAAATTTATTTGCAATCTTATCTGAAGCCTCACGATCTGAGAATTTACTTATGCAACCAGTTTAGTTGTACATTATTAAAGCCACTAGTCACGTGTGGCTAAGGAACATTTGAAATGGCTAGTCTGAATCAAGATGTTATATAAATGTAAAATGTATACAGATTTCAAAACCTTAGTACAAAAAGAATGTAAAATATCTCAATAATTTTTATAAGAATTACATGTAAGATAATATTTTGTGTATATTGGGTTAAACAAATTATATTATTAAAATTATTTTCATTTCTTTTTACTTTTTAAATTATGGCTACTAAAAATCTTAAATGTTAAATGTACATTGAAAACTATTACAAAGTACATATGTGGTTTACATTATATTTCTGTTGGACAGTGATGGTCTAGGGTGTTCTCTGTTTCTGCAGTCATTGTCTGAGACTTAAAATCATTGTGAAACACTTTCCTCTGTAATTTTTTTTCTTTACCATTTTGGGTAGAAAATGAAAATTCCCGAATATTTAACTCTGTTCAATGAAAACTTTAGAAAAAAGTTTAAAGATGATGGTTCCAGACTTCTTTTAAAAATGATGAGTACTTTGGGCAACACAATAAGAAAACTGAAGAGTGATGTAATGATTATCATTTCATTATCCTTCTAGACGATGCCATAATTCTTCAATTTTCTTATTTTACTGTTTTCATAGCATAGTTGGGAATAATTGATGAGTAATGATGAAATGATAGTTAGGATCAAGAAGTAGCAAAATGTTACAAGGTAGAGGAAAAATAAGATCACAATGATTCCATAATGTATATTAAAATAAGAATCTAGTGGATCCATGTGGTAATCATAAGATAAAAAGAATTTGACTCTGTTTTTAAAAGATACAGATTTTTTTTCTTTGTTTTTGGAAGACATGAAACAAAAATAAAAGTCATAATATATCAATTCCTACAAATAGCTAGAAATGCTTAATTTTGTTCCTTTTGAAAGTAATCTGTCATTTTTCTCCGGATTCTTTTATTATCTTTTATCTGTGGTGTTCTTTTATTTTGCTGTAGAACTTTATTTCTATAGCTTTTCTGTATCTTGATGTATTTTTTTAATTTATATTTTTGAGTATTTTTTGTGTGTGTGCGAATGTGCTCCCTGAATCTGAATGTAGACGCCTTTCAGTACGTCTGGAAAATGCTCAGGTATCATATCTTTGAATGTTGCCTTTTCCTCATTTTCTATTCTATTTTTATTCTGAGTCTGCTAATTACAATTACCAGTCATCATAGGTCTAAATTGACTATCTGTTGTTTCTGCAGATGCTTGCTCTTGACTCTTTCTTTCTTCATAGTGGGTGTGTGTGTGTGTGTGTGTTTATTTATATTTTGTTATTGTCTTGTATTTTGGCTGGCTAATCAATTTCTTTGTACCTTTATCTTTGAGATTTTTTTTTTTTATGCCCAAGATTGAACTGAATTTACACAGAGAGAATTTGTATTTGCTTTTTGCCAGTCACCTGGGAACACTATCAACTGGGACTTCTTAACTTGAAGAGTTTTTGGATCCCACAAAAAGCATTCATTAAGGTTACAAACCTGTGAAGGGGTTTATTTCTCATCTTCTTTCTCCTGAGGATGTATCCTTCAGGAGCTCGCCCTTTAGGGTACACGACTTGTCCATGGGACAGAGCCAGCTTTGGTACTTGCTTATCTATCAGGATTTCTGTTTATATTCAGTTTAAGGCTGCTATAGATTCCATACTTTCTTAACACCTCAAGCGATGCATTAAAATTTTTTCATACACACACACACAGCATTTTTAGGATTCTCAAGATTCCTTTCCAAGAAAATGTGAGCCCTAGTGAGTGTTCAAAGACTAAATCACTCTTCACGGTTAGTCAGATATTACCAGCATCTACACTGGAGACTTTGGTGGACTGTGACGTGCATACTTTCCTGTAATACATTCTTCAGACATGATGAGGTTTAGGAAACAACTTTAATTAGTTTACTCACGATAAGATATTATTGACAATATTTGCTTCCCAAATTAAAATGGATTTCATATCCTGTTCATTTAGGGGCCAAACTGGAGCATACACCTTGATAAAACGCAGTCCGTTGTACTTGCAGACATGCAAGATAGTCACCAAAGAGGTTGCATCATAACCTAAACATGTTTATTATTATTATTATTATTACTACTACTACTACTACTACTACTACAACACAGGCTTAATGTCATGATGTTCACAGAATAACAGAGTCTCTGCATCTGTCTTTGACCCTTTCAGCCACCACCCCCAGGCTCCTGTGCTTAACAAGACATGGTCATCTAAAGTAGCCTGCCTTCCTGTTTCCACTGGTCATATTTTCGCATCTGTATTCTTTTTCTTCTTCTAGCCTCTTTATTTTCCTAAAGATTCTGCAGCAACTTGGTCCCCTTCCCCATTATGCAACGGAAACTGCTTTTAAAATGCTAGAATCGTGCTTTATTTTGTAAACAGTTGCTCTGCTGCCTCATCCCCTGTTGTTACATGAAAATTCTTAAACCTCCAAGTTACCTCCAGAATCACGTGGTCGTTACGTGTCAGGCAGGTATGCCTGGTACCACCATGCTGTTTTTTTGGAAGAATTCTCTGATTTATTAGGCAATTTCAGTACTAGTTGGAACGTGCCCTTAAACCATTTTGTGAACCACATTTTCTTACTTCCACACTAGAGTATATTCGTGGACTTGTTTTTAATGACTGGAAACCACTTAGAAAGTTGACATTTTACTTCCACATTACCTAAAATATCTATTTTAATCCAAGAGCCGTTTTTTTAAGATGTATTTTCGTCTTTATTTCTTTAAAGAGTACTAGCAATTAATAATCTTTAAGGGGGCCCTTTCTCCAAGTCCTGTGCAGACCCCCAAAGTTTTGTCTTTTGTTTTTAATCACTCCATGAGAATCGTAGGGTAGGCGTAATAGAGCTGAGAATAACAGACTAAATTAAACTGAACGGAGATTCAGACGTTCTACGTTTTCAAGGTTCACTTACCAGAGAAGGGGCTCCCTCTTGCTTATCTCAGCAAAATTGCAAACGACTGCATATCATACACTGCTGAGATTATGAGTAGTCAGAACTGCAAAGGTTAAGTTTAGAACAGGTTTCTATTTAAAATCTTAAAATTATAATTAGTTTTACTTCTTAAAAAAGTTTTCTCATTATTCATGTCACTCATATAATCATAAGTATTTATAAAGGTAAAAAATTTCTTAGGTAGAGTATTTTTATCTTTTTCCCCCCTCCACTTTCCATTTTCATGGTTTTTAAGTCAGACACATATATCTGTTTCTAGGCTTCCCATTCTGGCTGAGAAGTAATTGAAAATTTCTCTTTTAATCTATTCCTGACAAGGTAAAGGCCTTAATGAAGCTGAGTAAACTTGAAGTGTGGCAGAGAAGCCTCATGCTTTCCCAGTGGCCACCTTATCCCTTATAGCTCAGGTCCTTAGAATTTTGAGTTTAATTTCACAGATTAAGAAGTGACATACTGGCAGCTTCACTTCTTACAAAACACCGCCTTTCAACTGCAACTGAAGTAAAGAACAAGACCTAATTTTTTGAGGTGGGGTGGGGCGGGAACGGGGAGTACATTGGTGAAAGAGGGATGTACAGTTTGACTTCAAAAAAGCACTGTGGAAGCCTATGGAAGTAACAGTATCTATGAAGGTCTGCTTATAACATGAGACAAACTGTTCTTTGTTCTCGTTAAAGATTGTGAACAGTGTGTTAAATAATATTAATGGCTGGGATTGTCAGTACTTAACAGTACTTTCCTTGTACAAGCGATTTTATTGATCGATACAGACTCAATGTAACGGGGTCAGACTTTTTTTTACTGATTTTATCGAAACCTTAACCAAGTTTGTTAGTGCACCACATATCTTTAAATAGATCTAGATGATGATGTAGATTAAGAAAAGCAAACCACCATCCATCTCTTTTTGATCTGTTAATAACTTAAATCCATCATTGCTAGCAAGTGTTTTCGGATTCTGTTGTGCATACATGTTTCTGTTGTGCCTGGATAGATATCCTATAACCTTGTTTCAGTGGTTGGTTTTCCATACAGGAAAACCCTAACCATTTATCCAGAATTTGGCAGACAAGTTTGTCATCATAATTGGTGAAATAATTGGCAAGATGTGAAGAAAAAAACACTTTAAAAGTCTGTTTTCTAAATTTAGTCTTTGTAGGCAGTGACCTATAGATTCCTACATTTTATGGTAGTTCCAGAAGACTTTTCTGTGCTAAGTTAAAAACACTTTATGAATGCTACAAGTAATCAGCAAGGACAATGTATGATAGTTCTTCTCATTATATATTTTAAAGGTTTGCATTTTAATTATAAAGAATTTTGCTGCTTAATGTCAGATGCAGTTTATTTTTCTCAGTGATTTGTGGGCTTCCTGCTAATCTCAAGCTGGCATATACTTCATTTAAAATATATTTTAGAGCAGAACAATTTTTTTAACCTTCTGAAATCAGTGATATATATATACACATACATACACACACTCATATACTTTTTTTTTTTTTTTTTTAAAGAAAACAGTACACTTTCCTTTCAAGGAAATAAACCTGTATTTTAAAAAATTCAGATGTTGCATTTTTGTTCACTTTGGGTGGATGAGCCCAGTGGAAGCCTGACCATCAGAGCTATGGATAATAAGCTTTTACAGGTAATATAGGTCAGTGGAGGTGAAATCAGTAATGGAAATTGGAAAAGCTTTAGGAATCTCAAGAATGTTTATCATTTCATGGAGAGGAATCTATGCGAAAGAAAGAAAGGGAATAGAAATATACATTCTAGTGTACAATGACCCCAAAGCTTTGATCAGGATTAAAATTTTAAACTTTGGGAGTCTTAAGCCTATGTTTTATCAAATGTTAACCACCTGAGTGTCATCTGCACTGATTTTAAAAAATACTCTCAGAAGTCACTAACTGAGATTCAATGACCTAGAGCTCCACGTTAATAAAATTAATATTTTGAGTTAAATCCTCTAAAGACTGATTGTGCTTGTTGGCAGGGGTCCTGGCTGCATGCCTTTTTTAGAAAGAGGACTGTGAGCTATATGGTGAGAATACACAGACCTGCTCTCATTTCTGGAAAGGCAGCTCAAAGCCCCTTCTAGAAACAGGTAGTTAGTGATGCCATTTCATGTATATTGAGAGAAAGAACACATACTACTTTTTCTTCATATTCAGACTTACCTTAAAAAGTAGACGGTTTTATCTGATAAAAACTTAACACCTTGAGCTAGCATTATATTTCCATGAATATCAGTTCCTTTAAGGTGGGCATAGTGGGCTTGAGTCTCTCTTTAACGGCACAGCTTTCCATTCAGAGAAGATTTTTGAATGCCTGACATTATTCTTGAGATACTTTTGATTTGTATTTTATCAGATTTGTGTGTGATGGACTTGTGGGTTTTAAAAGAACTGGCTTTTATAGTCAGGTTCACTTTTAGTTGATGACTCTACTTTAATCAAAGGAAGATCACTACATCTATATTCTATAATCTTTTCTGATATAAATAATCTACTTCTTCACAGACAAGATTTCTCTCCTTGCAGGTTAATGTATATTTTAGTATAATCGTATTTTTGTCATTGTTCTGATTTATACATAGGTTCTATTCAACAACTTTGAAAACTACAAAGAATAAAAAATAATTTTCTGTAATTCTTCCACGTAAACCACTGCTTCTGAAGCTGGGCCATTATACCTCGCAGAGGACATTTGGAAACGCACAGAGACATTTTGGTTGTCATGGTTGAGGATGGGGATGGTATTAGCATCCAGTGGACAGAGATTGGGGTGCTGCTAAACATCCTGCAATGCACAGAACAGCCCTCAACAAACAGTAATTTGGCCCAAAATGTTAATAGTGGTGAGGCTGAGAAACTCTTACTTAGACATATTAAAATTATGGTGTATTTCCTTTATCTTTTTCCTATACGTATCTTTAATCACATATTTTAAAACATTTGTTACATCATCTATAATACTTTACAAACTCCTCTTTTCATTTAAAAACATATCACAAACATTTACCATGTATTAAATAGTCCTCTAAGACAAAGATTTTTTAAATGTCTTAACTTTTTTATTATGGAAATTTTCAACATATGAAAAATAGAATAATAAAATCCCAGATACACGTCATCTAGCTTCAACAATTATCAATTCAGGAGCAATCTTATTTCACATATATTCCCACACTTACTCCCATATTATTTCGAAGACTCCCAGATATTTTATTTTCATCTATAGATATTTCAGTATACATCTCTAATAGATAGATTCTTTTCTAAAACAATTTTAATAAGGCTCTGTAATGTTCTATCCTAAGGATGTATTATAGTTTATTTAACTGAGAGCCTGCTGTTGAGTTTTCGTGTGGTTTCTAGTTTTCTCCCTCGAATTTTTTGTTTTAATTTTCCTATGGCAGATTCTCCTCGTTCCACAGGTGAATTAGCAAGTGTGCAAACTAAGCAAGGCAAGAATGAGCACCAGACCCTTAATTTCATTAAACACTGTGTAACTGGTAAAGATTAATGTACATATCTCTTGCTAATTCTTTCCAATTACTTAGTTCATATAAATCCCCAAGCCTGGTTAATTATGCTGAAGTCAGGTAGTAATTTTGAACAGTGTTCCGACAACAAGGGAATTTTCCTAGTATAACCTTGCCCTTTCACACAGCCTCTCAGCAGATTAGGCCCTCAGCCTGCAGTCCATTCATTTTCTGCTCAGGCCTAATTGCTGCCGACTGGCTGCCACAGGTACCTGGATAGCCTGCGTTTAAGGAGGCAGGGACTTCTGAGAACAAATAAGGAAAGATTAATTGTTTGTTTTGTTCTCTCTCAAGAGAAATGTGGGTGCTTAATCAAGAAAAATAATTTCTTCTGTTGATTTGACTTATTTGGAGAAAAGATAATTGTGTAAAGGTGGGTACAAAATGATGCCTTTTATAAGAGGTATTGCCACTTACCTACACAGGAGACAAGGATACAGGGAAATAAATGTAAGACACTGACGAAATGGATGAGGATGGCTCACATTTCTCATAGTAACTAATCTGGCTGTTGGGCTTTTATTTGTACCAATAGTGCTAGCTGGTATTGTCATTTGTTTTGTCTGGATCTTCGGAAATCTAATCAAGGAGACAATAGTGTAAAAAAAAAAAATCAACAACACTTTTCCAAATCGTTCTTAATTGCTGGAGTACAAAGTGAGCTAAATGCTGTGGTGTTTCCAATTAAAGAACTGGTTTCAAGCAAGCACTATTAAATCTTTCTCAATCTGATAAATAAGCGATCAGAGAGTGGAGCAGATTAATTGAGAGCAATTAGTTCCGGATTTCTTAAAATAGGTGAAGCGAACCAACCTTATTAACGATTTTTGACAATTTTTGGCATGGTAACTATGTCATTTGCACCTTCTGGCCATTCAAAAAGAAAATCGATTAAATGTTACCATATTGCTTATGAGTTTTAGGACCAAAAACTATCTGCTTTTCTAAATCTCAAGTTATATGAGAAGGACTTTTGATAAATTCTAAACCAAAATTGACTCTTGAATTTGGATAGGAGAAAGTAAATGGACTTAAAGAGAAATGTGCATTGTCCCTCTGACTGGAAGGGATGGAGTTGTAAACACAAGCATGTCTATAATAGGCAAGAGTCAGCAAAATTTTTCTGTACAAGACCCGGTATAAATATTTTAAGTTAAGTGGGCCATATGTCTCTGTTACACCACTCAACTCTGCCATCGTGGTGGGAAAGCTGCTATAGATGATCAGTAAACAAAGTAGAGGTGTTCCAATAAAACTTTATTTACAAAACTAGCAGCAGGCCAAATTTGGCCCTCGAGCTACAGTTGACCCCTGGACCTAGAGGCTGCTGGCAAATTGGGGTAGACAGGCAATAGCAGAGGGCCGGAATAGAGGTATATGGCCTGGCATCAGGCGAGTGTGAATTTGGAGACCTGAACCTCCACTCTCTGCTGTCTAAACTATGGAAATTAATTAACCTCTGAGCACTAGTCACCTTTTCTGTAGAGTTGTTAATGAGGATGGCACGAGATCTTATACACAGATCATCATCCATTTCCTGAAATAGAATAGGCATACAGAATAGCTATCATTCTGTCCTCAGATCCGAGACATATTGGACATACATATTTTGTCCTTATTTTTCCCAAATCTCAGAATGTCCCTAGGACTCTAAGGAGCCACAGGGATTATTGCCTAATCTTAATTATTTAGTCATGAAAATTCAATTAGAAAATATTCTTTCAGGAACCATCTCACTAATTGAGCTAAAACAATGACTAATTTAAAATACTATTGAAAGCCATACAAGGCAGAAATTTTCAAAACAATGAAGTTTGTCACTAGGAAGTTCTACTGCAATCTTTTATCCATTGACTCCTTTATTCTTTAATTCATAAAATAAACATCTTTTAAGGGCCTATTTTGGGCCAGGTACTCTACTATGCACAGCGCTTTACATTTATTGTTTCACAGTCCTCAGCACCATCCTAGCTCAGCAGCATCATCTAGTATTTGAAGTCAGTCTGCCCTAATTGTGGACCATTTTGTGCAGGGTGACATGCGTAAGCCTATCTGTAAAGTACCTCCGTTTTCCTCAGTAAAAGAAATAGTAGCAACCAGCGTGCAAATCAGTTTGAACTTTTTAAAGAACCTGCCCATCAAAGGAGAGGATTTGAAGAGTGCCAGTGTAGGAATCTTTTCCCTGAGGCATGCATGCTGCCCTCTCACTAGAAAGTCTCCAAGGTGGCATGTGCACAGTGACCCACGGGGTACAGGAAGAAGTCATGACATTTTCAATTATATTTGTTTTTTATCTGATGAAGAAGTGAATTGAGCTTTATTGGTATTGCTGTTCAGACTGGCACCAGCCCTTTCATGAGTCCAAACATAGGACAGCCTGAGGTCCACAACCAGGGGGCGTGCCTTTGGCGCCCTCACTTGTTTGTTCACTATAGCCTATTGCAGTTTGCGGTGCCAATTAGGTGACCTCATGGGCTATATTATCTGCTCTCAACTAAACCTCACAGAAGAAGGCACCCATGGCTTAACAGGAGTCCTGCAGAGCAGGGGTCCCCAATCCTCAGGCCGCAGACCGGTACCGGTCCGTGGCCTATTAGGAGCTGGGCTGCACAGCAGGAGGTGGGCGAACGAGCAAAGCTTCATCTGGATCTGTAGCCGCTCCCCAGCGCTAGCATCACCACCTCAGCTCCACCTCAGGTCATCAGGCATTACATTCTCATAGGAGCACCAGTCCCTGGTGCCAAAAAGGGGACCGCTGCTGTACAGAATCCACAGATTGAAGGCAAAACTAGAAAATGCTAGTCCAGCATTTAGTGAACAGCAGGAAGATGGCAGCATGGTGGTGTTACTGCCGTTGACTCCTTCAAGTCCTTTGTAATCCTAACTAAGTAGGCCCTTCCGACTTAGTGATATAAAGGTACTACTGAATTAATTATGTACTATATAAAAGACAAAAATTTAGTGTACAATGAAAAAATACATTGTATTTTTCAATGTATTTTTGAATACATTGAACATCAAGTAAGTGGCTTTTGAAAGAACACAAGTCTGAGAGAGGACAATTTGAAAATGGGTGTTGAAAGCAGTTTCTATCATGATGGGATTCTGTTGCCAAAATTAATATGCGTGACTTAAAATTCTCTCTACCTTCCTTAAAACCTAGAAACAGAATTTTCTAGCCTGTTCAAAAAATCTTTTACAAGAATTTCAATGAGTCTTAGACCCAAATTTTTCTAAATGCAACATTTTCCAGTTCTATAAGAACAACTGTGTGACATTAAGAAAGAAAAGAGAATTTCTTGGCCAAATCTCATTAAAAAGTCTTTGTGTTATTGGAGAGCAAAATTGGAAAAATTAGTGTTAAGATTTAGTAAGTGCAGCTGTTTTTGTGAGATACCTTTTTCAACAGTCATTAAAACCAAATATTTATGAAATAAACAAAATTTTCTGTTACTCTTAAACACAATGAAAAACAGTCACTGTTCCAATCAAAGAGTATATTTAATCACATTACTCAGATTAAAATATCATTATCTGTAATTTTTAATAAGAACAGAAATGTTCTTTATATCGATAAAGACAATAAAATAAAATTTGTTTTAAATATTTTTTCATTGTACACTAAATTTTTGTCTTTTATATAGTATATAATTAATTCAGTAGTACCTTTATATCATGTATAATTAAATAAATATGTACATACTGGGGTGAGGGCTCGGCCTTTTTTGGGAGACATTGCTCTAAGACATTGCTCCCTCTTCAGTGGAATCTCCCGTTCGTGCCAATGTGGTTTAAGTGAGTACTCATTTGTAATCAATTAAACAAAGTACTCTATTTCCAAAAAGTTTTATTTTAAAAGGCCTTTCCAAAATCAGAATTTGATAAACTCCCATCTTACGTGTGGGCTATAAGTGGTGGCTTATTTTCAGGCCAGATGAAGAACCTCACCATACATTTCTGAATCCAGAGGGAATTCTAGTTGTGGATGCAGTTAAGGTATAATACTTTTTAAACATTCCATGGTTTTGCCTTCTCTACTTTTTCTTGTTCCCATTTACAGAATGGGTATTGGGTTTTTTGTTTTTGTTTTTTTAATTTTTTTCTTTTTCCACAGAAGATGTTTACTTCCTTGGTGGGAATTGTAGCTTTTATCCCATTTTCTCTGTTCCCCAACCCTCATCGTTATTTGAGATGACTTGTCATTGCCTCTTGTCTTTTCATGTAATACCTTTTATGTAGTAGATATTAAAGTAAATCTTCTCTTTTTCTCCCTCATTCACTTGGACAGGAGTGCAGGGCAGTGACATCTGAGCAAAGGATATGATCTCGGAACTCTGATCATCTCTCTCTGTTATTTTAAATCATTCATGGTAGGAGACTAACTCTGAATATCTCATGCCCTTCTAAGACCATCTTTGTATTCCATATATGCAACTGAATTCAGCACTGTCGTACCCAGCATGCTCTTTATTTCCAATACTAGTCATCTTTGCCTTGTCAACCCCTGTTGGAGACTTTTCCCACAGAACCTCTCTTGTAGTATTTTAGAAAAATCTGGGTCAATCTGGGTCATTCTGGGTCGTTCTTAGGTTCCTTTATAAAATCACTCTCTTCACTCAAAATAGCCCCATGTTTGTGCCCTGGAAGCTTTTCGTGATTAGTCAAAGGAGTACTTTCCTGTTTGTCATCCCCTCTGCCATTATCTTTGTTTAGTGCTTTGTTCCTTTTCTCCAACACCATCATGGTAGTTTCCTCATTAGCTCTGGCTGCTCTGGTTCACCCTGATGTGGATATTTCTTTTCAACTTCATCTCTGATCATACTCACCTACCAAAATGCTATTTCATGGCTCCTGTCAACTATCAAATTGTGATACTCCTAGGCCAGGTGTTCAGAATTCCAGCCTTATTCTACATGTATCTTATATGCCAGCCATACTAGCTTCCTGCCCATCCCCTTGTCTTGGACCCTGTGTTTATCATACCTTGTATCTGGTATATTCCCTTTCTCATCCCTGTTCATTAAAGCATCCCTCAAGGCTCATTTCCAATACTCACTCTTTCTTGATTCTCCACACCTGATGCGATATTCTCAACTCTAATGCACCTTAGTTCACCATTATCCTATCACATTTTACCTTCTGCTATAGCTCTCAGAGTACTGATCTTCTCTACACCAGGTTGCCAGTCCTGCATGCCACCCCTGACTGTAGCTCAACCCACCCTGACTGCTGTCCCAAAACTGCCAGATAGATAATTCAGTTTTAATTTTTGATATTATCCTAACACTTTCTTTTGTTATATTTTTATTTCTTTTTGATAGTTTGGGACATAATCTCAGACCTGACTGTGAGTAATACTTTCATCATGCAGTATTTCATGGTGACATAGTCTCAGAGTTGATAGTGGTATTTCTGTATTATTCTATATGTGCAACATTTCAAGTTTAGCTCGAAAATTTTTAAAATCTATACAGCAAAAAAGTCACCACAAATTCAAATCATAAGACAAATAGACTGAAAAAAATATGTTCAATATGTATGAGAAAGGGCTAATTCCCATGATATGTAAAAAGCTTTTATAAATCACTAGGAAGAAGATAATACAATAGGAAAATTTGTAGAATTCATTCATTAAAAAAAATAATTATAAATGGTCAGCAAACGAGAAAAAGATATTTCATTATTAGAGAATCATAAATTAAAGTGAGATAACATGTTTACTTATAGATTTGCAAAGATTAAAACAAAACATTCGTACTCATCATTGGTAAGGAATAAACATCCCATATACCTTTAAGGAGATTGCCCATTGTAGCGACCTTTATGAAAAGCAATTTGGCAGTTCCCTCTCTGAGTTTATCCTACAATTATCTTTGCATAATTGAGCTATGCTGTATGTAAGGCATTTATTTCATTGCAATATAATCATAAAAATTGCCCAATTAAGGGGGAATTGGTTAAAAATATATTGGAATATCCATACAGTGGAAAGCTATACAAAATACTCCATAGCAATTCAAAAGAATGCTGTAACTCTCTATATACTAATACGGAGAGAGGTCTAAGACCTGTAAACTGATACAGAAAGAAATAAGTTGTCTAGAAACAAACATTTTTAAAGTAATACTTTGCTTATGATCAGTAACATTCACAATTTAGAGCTCTGTGAAGACCAAAATTCAGGAAAATCTTTTAATCAGTCAGAGTTAGAGAAAACAGAAATAGAAGATCTTTTTATGGTTGAAGTTTTTTAAAGCCTCATTTAAGTATAAGAAGTCTGTATTATTTGTTCCCACGACCACAACTTTCTATTGTTATTATTTTTGGCAAGACAACTCACACGAGTTTAGTAATCTTGCTATATGATCAGTAGCCAAATAAGAAAATTTACTATAGAAGTATAAGGAAGACAGTCACTCTTCCAGGTGGATGCTATTTATTTTTCACTGGCACACAAAAGGTTGCGAAGCATTCCCTGGTCAGCTTCTGCCAGCTTTTTAAGCCGGTAATTGCATTGTTCACGTCTTTATCAAGGAAGCCCTTGCCAGTAAGTTTTTGGGAGGGACAAGTGTCAAGGATGAGAGGCCACAATGAAGTGCCCGTGACTGAGCAAAGATTACACTGCTCATTCTACA